TTTTTTTTAAAAAAATGTCTTATTTGGGGCGCCTGGGTGGCGCAGTCGGTTAAGCTTCCGACTTCAGCCAGGTCACGATCTCACGGTCCGTGAGTTCGAGCCCCGCGTTGGGCTCTGCGCTGATGGCTCAGAGCCTGGAGCCTGTTTCCGATTCTGTGTCTCCCTCTCTCTCTGCCCCTCCCCCGTTCATGCTCTGTCTCTCTCTGTCCCAAAAATAAATAAACGTTGAAAAAAAAAATTAAAAAAAAAATGTCTTATTTATTTCCGAGAGAGAGAGGGAGACAGCATGTGAGCTGGGGAGGGGCAGAGAGAGAGAGGGAGGCACAGAATCCAAAGGAGGCTCCAAGCTGTCAGCCCAGAGCCCGACATGGGTCTCGAACTCATGAACCATGAGATCATGACCTGAGCCGAAGTCACACGCTTAACCGACTGAGCTACTCAGGCGCCCCTGCAAGCCACGTCTTGACAAAGGACTAGGATCTAGAATGTATAAAGAACTCTTAAAACTTAACAAAAAAACCAATCTAATGAGATAACGGGCAAAAGACATGAGGGGACATTTCACAGAACAGGATAAGCAGATGGCAAATAAGCACATGGAAAGACACGCAAAATCATTCACCACAGGGGAAATAAAAGTTAAAACCACAATAATGCACCACAATACACTTGTCAGAATGGCCACATAAAAAAACAGCGACAACACCAAATGCTGGCAGATTTTCAGAAACTGGATCACGCAGACATTGCTGGTGGGAACGTAAAATTGCGGTCTGGAAAAGTTAAAAATGAAAAATTAAAGAAACCCGAGATTTTAACTGCCATGTGATCTTAACTGACATTACATTCCAGAGAAATAAAGACTTATGGTCATAGAAAAATCTGCACACGAATGTTCTTAGAAGCTTTATTTGTAATAGCCAAAAGCTGGAAAAAAATCTAAATATCCTTCCATGGGTGAATAAACTATGGTACGTCCATACCATGGAATGCTACTCAGTAATAAAAAGGAAGACCACTCAAAAACCTGGATGAATTTCCAGAGAGTTATACTCAGCTAAAAAATTCAATTTATTTTATTATTTTTCAAATTTTAAAAAAGTCTTTAAAAAGTGCATTTATTTTGAGAGAGCGAGCGAGCGAGGGAGGGAGGGGCAGAGAGAGAATCCCAAGCAGGCTCCTCAATGTCAGTGCAGAGTTTGATGAGGGGCTTGGACCCATGAACCGTGAGATCATGACCTGAGCTGAAACCAAGAGTTAGACGCTTAACCAACTGAGCCACCCAGGTGCCCCTGTGTGATTCCATTTATTTAATGTTCTCCAAATGACAAAATTAGAGAGATAGAGATTAAGGACAGATTAAGGGGGAGTTACGGGCAGGAGGGACACCCTTGCATCTTGACTGTATCAACATCAATATCCTGGTTACGACGTGGTATGTTTTCAGGACATCATCAAAGGAGAAAACAGGGGAAAGGGGGCATTTCATACAACTGTGGATGAAGTATGATATATCTGCAATGATCTGACAATAATGTTTGGCCTGATTTTAAGAAGTACATTCCAGGGGCGCCTGGGTGGTCAGTTAAGCGTCCCACTTTGGCTTAGGTCATAATTTTGTGGTTCATGGGTTCAAGCACTACATGGAGCTCTGTGCTGACAGCTCAGAGCCTGGAGCCTGCTTGAGATTGTGTGTCTCCCTCTCTCTCTGTCCCCTCCCTGCTCATACTCTCGCTCTCTCTCAAAAATGAAAACAAAAACATTAAAAAAATTAAAAAGTAAACTCTGTATGATTCTGCTTACATTAAGTTCAAAGGTAAACTAACCTAAGAACGATAGAAATCAGAACAGTGATCACCTCTGGCAGGGAAGGGGAATGAAAAATCTGGGGGGCAATGGAAATGTTCTGTACTCTGTTTTGGGCAATGGCCACACATACATACATGTATAGAAATGTATTTAAGCCAAGTATTTATGATTTGTGTGCTTTTATCTTTTGTACGTTAAATCATGTACATGGGCCAATCCTACCAGTCCCGCAAATTATTTTTGTCTGTACGATCACGTCTCAGAAACATAAGTTGGACGGATCTCTCCTTCTAGTCGTTTAAGATTGTCTAATATCCTTGAATTAAGATAACGTTCACCCTGGATTCGGCTAAAACACTGGGGATTTTTCTTCCCTTTAGAGCTAAAGGGAATCCCTGGGTTTTAAGAATTTATAAATGGTAATGTGTAGAATGCAAAGCAAATTGATTTTTGAGGGAAAAAATTCTAGGTAGTGATCATAATCACGATGGGCCATTTTTCACTTGTGAGATGGTTTTGCTAATCCTACAGGCCTACCTACTTCATTGGGCAAGTGTCCAGCTACAAGAAAAACCACCAGGCCCCTTGTCCTGCTCCTACTGCTGAGATCTGCACTGTAGTGGGCAGGGGACCCTGAGGCCCAGTGCCTCGTGGCCGCAGTGCAGTAAATCCCACCTTGCATTTCTGGCCCTCCTGAGCCTCTGGAACTGTGGGCGCCCCTGAGCCTCCGAGGCAGCGCCCATCTCCGGGAGAGGGAGCCTCTCCGCCCTCCGTGACTTCGGGACTCAGCGCAAATGTTGTCCTTTCACACCTGTCTTACCTTCAGGATGCCAGCAAACAGAAGAATAATAAAACCTGCGGTACAAGTGCCCCAGCACTGGATGGCTCCCGTGTGGGCGCTGAGGGCCAGCTACCCCTGGCGGTGGGGGGGAGGGGGGGAGTGGGGGCGTGGCCTCGGCAGGTGCCGTATCATCGGTCAGTTCCTAACACTGATGCTTGCACCCAAGTGCTTCACGTTCTTCAACCCATCTGGACGTGAAACTTGCTCTTCTGTGGCCAGGAGGCAACAGCTCTTCCCTTTGTTGCGATCTACGCCCATCAAGAACTGGGGTACCTTGGACAGAATTCTAACCAGGACCGGGGGCAGCCCCACTGTAAACAGCTGAACTCTGGTTCATGTCCCAGTGTCTTTGGAGTGTGGGTTCTGACAACCAGTCTGCAGGAGCCGGACCAACTCTCATTTCTGGCCATGTACAGCGGATTCCTAGTCCGGAACATTCTCCTCTCCAACTCCCCGCCTGACCCATGAGAGGCCCGCCTTTCAGTGTCGCTCAGCAATGTCTCTCTTTTCGGTTCCATAGTGACCAATTTAAATAAAAGGCCTAACACAAAAATCAGGCAAATATGTTTAATTTTTTAAAATAACTGATGGCAAAATAAAATATTTACATCACATCATACTGTGTAAACATGTAAGGTCTCTGTACAAAGAAATATACATGCAAAATAATGTAAAAATTTAACTGAAATAATAAAAGAAACAATACACAAATAAAAGTTGTGAGGTTACGAATACACATCCAGTTTTGAATCCAATTTCTTTTAAAAAGTTTCTGTACAATTTTACAAGAAACAAACAAAAACCCAACAAAAGAATAAATAAAATACATTGGAAGCTGCAAAGCTTAACTCCGCCCGGTTCATGGCTCAAGACCCAGGTGTCTGGCTGGCTGGGGAAGTGGGCCGGTCGCGTTCGTAGTGGATCTCACACAACAAAGATAAAAAGACATTCAGAAAAATTCAAGCGTGCCCAGAAAGCCCGCGGCTTGTTGACAGGTGTCCCCACGCCAGCGTTAATTCTGCCACAGTGACGCAGACGTCACAGATGCCAGCCTCAAGGCGGCTAGTGCTTAATTGGCTTTTATTTCTTACCAAAAGCTCAAAATCCAGCCAATTTTTGTACAGAAAGTGGAACGTCAAAAAGTCTAAAAAGTAGTAAATGGCCAGACCGATTTTGGGAAAAAAAATAATACTTTGGCATTCTGAATAATAGCATAATAAATTTGAAAACATTACCCTATTATCCAGTTTTATATTCAGAGTATGAAATCACTTTTTACAGTCCTCGAAACTGACAAATTTCACGCAGAGTTAAATCTCCTTGAACTGATGGCACAGGGCTCCACCCCCACCCCCCCCCGCCCCCGACACACGCACAAAACCATAAAGCTCACTGTACGAAGTATGTGCTTTTTCTATGTATTTATTACAGGTACAACAGAGGTCTTCATAAATAGTTGCATAAAATGTTAAAGCCACAACATTGCACATGATATGAAATAAAACCAAAAAAACCCCAATGAGTGCATTTACAGTATTTTCATCTGACTGTATACTGCTCGACAATCTGATTGACGGCTTGGGGGTGGGAAGCAGGGGGAGGGGACATCGGGGTGGGACCCAACCTGACGTCCTGGGTTGATGGGCAGAACCCTCTGACCTCCTCCAAAGGAAGCCCTGGGCAGTGGGGGTGGGGGAGAGGGGGGGACAGGAGGGAAGGACAGACCGAAGGCAGGACCAGTCTTATATACAAATAAGGCCTACATTTCATCAGAGCAGAACGATTCATTCTAGTTTTATGCAAAAGTCTGAGGTTGAATGCACGTTTCAGGAGCCTGGTCTGGCGTCCCGGTGAGACGCACGCAGACCCGGCGGCTAGGAAAGCTCAGAGCCAGGTGGACCCTGAGCTCTGGACGATGCCGTGGGGAGGGCCGCCTCGAGGGGGGAGTCCTCCCCAGGGGTGTCCAGTATCTCTGTTTTGTTCGTTAACACCAGTGGTTGAACATAGGCATTTCGTGTCCTTGAATAAATCCTGGAAAATGTTAAATTTGCAAAATTCTATTCGTGTGTATTTAAAAAAGTTTCTTTTCTTTTTTTTGCAGAAACCTGAATAAAAGACTGTGGTACAGCAATGCTGTCTCCGCTCACGAAGAGTGTGCAAGAAGGTCCTCCACCCCAGCACAGCGTGCTCCCGAGCCCCGGGCACCGCCGAGCACAGCTCACCCGGAACGCAATGTCACACGATGAACGTACGGCAGCTCATCAGTCATGTTGGTTTGTGTTTCTCTTCGAAATTCAAATTAACAGCTGATTGGCAGGTGAAAGAGAATGAGAGAGAACTTCAGGATGGGTCAGACTCTAGGCAAAAGCCTGCTCTGTAAGAAGTTTTTAACGCTACGGATAGGTCGAACATCGTTCTGGTGTTTGCGCCGCTCAATGAAGGAAGTCAGTCTGGACGTGTCGAGGACGCCCGCACCTTTGCCACTGCCTTGGCCCGCCTGCAGCCACTGCTCCTGGAGGGCCAGAGCAGCCGAGGGACGCCTGGCAGGGTCCTCTTGGAGGAGGAAACACACGAACTCCTTGGCCTTCTGGCTCACTCCTTTGAAGCAGTCCTCTGGGAAGCTAAAGTCTAGTCGGCAAATGTTCAGGCAGGTCTCCTCCACGCTGTCGTCGAGGAAGGGGGACACGCCACTGAGAAGCACATATGTGAGCACTCCGACACTCCATGTATCCGAGGTCAGGGAGATGGGGTTCCCAAGGATAACTTCGGGGGCCGCAAACTCGGGGTTCCCCAGCAACTGGTGGATGTAGTAGGTCGTGTTGAGTTGGACAGCATCTCCAAAGTCAGCCAGTTTGATCGTTGGCTTGGCCGAACTCTGATCCACCAGGATGTTTTCAGGCTAGGAGACAGGATAAGACAAGGTCATTTCCATCTGTCCCCATCCCACGCTTAACACACAATGCTCAACGGGAATCCAGGAGGCCGGCTGGAAGAGACTGTTCACACGCAAAACAGGACAAAACTTAGAGCGTGTCGGCCCACGGAGGAGTCAGCATCGCCTGTCGGGGACAGCCCTCTCGGGAGACCGAGGTGGAGTCGCCGCGCCGAAGGGCCCTGGCTTAGGAAGCTGGGTGTTGTTCTCACTCCTGGCACTAACAGAAACATTCGCCTTCCTTTCTCAGCTGCCACTGAACCAGTCCCACACCAGCCTCACGAAACTCACAGGAACTTTCCGGAACTCATGGAATGTGTGAAGAGTACTTTACTGATCGTTTATAGCATCAAAAGTAAATCTTAAAAATGGAGATTAGAGACCCGTGTGCCCATTACCCACCTCCTCGTACTTGTACCCCCTCCCCCCGGGCCTCCTGGCCTGGATGCAGTGCAGAAGCTGAGAGGCCCTGTGCTCAGACACGCCGGCCTCGGCCCCGGGAAGCCCACTAACCTTGAGGTCCAGGTGCGCTATCCTGCAGTTGTGAAGGTATCGGACGGCTTCCAGAACCTCCCCCAGATACGCCCTGATCTTCCCTTCGGTGAGGTTTCCCCATCGCACCACACAGTCCAGGAGACGTCCCTGGTCAGCCCTGTGGAAGCAGGAATGCGCACGATGCTCGTCACGGCGCTGACCTCTCCTGCGTAACAGGAGACGGGCGGCTGCGGGTGGGCCCCTTGTTAACGTCCTACAAGGCTGGGGTTTCGGAATCGTACCTCCACCTAAAGGCGCGACTCTATCAAGAGGGTCGTTTCTTTCCAACCTCATTATGGATGCGAGCGGGGAACAAGGTCACTCAGCCCCCAGAGGGAGTGGGGAGGCAGACAGCAGCACATGTGGGCTCCTGCCCAGCCTCTGAGACACTGAGGACCCGGCCTGGGCAAGCCATCTGCTCTTGGATAGAATGAAGTGATACCACCTCCCCGAGCCTTAGTTTTACCACCTATAAAATGGGCGATGGGAAGGCCAAATGAGATAATGTAAGAGCTGATGTCACAGGGTGATGAGAAAACAGCCACTTGGTCTTAATGCCTGGGCTCCACAGCATGACAAGCCTGCTCCACCCAGAATCCGGGCATTTGCACAGACGCCGAGCTCACGGTCTTCCTGGGCGCCTTTTAAAATAAGAACTCAGAGGGGAGCCGTGAAGAGTTCTAAGGAATGCGGTCACCCTGCTCACTTGTGACCCGGGAGGGAGGACTGCCCCCTCCCCACCATTTCTGGGATCTGTAAGGATAGAAGCCTTGACAGTAACTGAAACTGTGCCTTCCATCAAAATGACCCGTTTCCATGTCCCCAAAGTGGGAGCTTGGAAGCCGAAGGAACTACCTGCCGACCCGTGTGGGTAGCTGGTGCTTCTTGCTTCATGCTGGACTCAAAAGGCTTCCCTACTTTGAATCACTGCCGATGTAAAAGCCACTGACACAGCACTGCCCGCGTGCCAGGGACGACACACTCTCTGTCAGCTCACTTAGTCCTCACGCCAGCTTCTTCAACTGAAGGCCACAATTGCAATGTGGTGGTCTGGCCCCGGCCTCCCTGAACCCCAGCCTACGCTGCCCCCTTTGCTTGCAAAACAGAAACTTCTAGGAAAACCAGCCATTTGATAACAAGGTCATCAAGGAGAATGTGGTAGTAAGACATCTGCTATGAAAAAAAATCCTATTAACAGTATGGTGAGGCCAAACCATTTAGTTTTCCGCTAAAAAGAAAGGACAGCTGAACACACGTAAATTTTACACCAGAAACGGACGTCTTGCCAATTTTTGATGAGGACTTTAGTTTTTGTTGAAAAATCCCCAGATGATCAGTAGCTGTTAGTCACCCAGCATCTCAAGTCCGAAAGGAGCCTCCCAGGTACTGAGGTCTCTGCCTGGACGTCATTTTAGTGCCACAACAAGCCCCATTACAAGATTTTTAAAAACTCTAAGGTTGAGAAAGGAGCCCCAGGTACAGAGCCAATGAGATAGGGAGCACGGACAGAAGCCAGACTGGGCTGTGCCCAGGCCCCAAGTCCCCCGACGTGCCCTTTGCCCATGATGTTCAGCGTAGGGGGACGTCTTGGGGGCCCGCCGTCCTCCCTCTGCCATCTGACATGTCTGCTAATCCAAAGACGGAGGCTGCGACAGGCCCCCGACACTCCAGCAGGAGCTTTACCCTGGGGGGGGCAGGGGAGATGGTCTTGACACATGCCCTCCCCCGGCCTTGCCCTCTGAAGGCACTTCCAAATTCTTTACAAAAAGCAATACAACACACAGAAAAATCAAACACAGGGCCTTGAAGGGGTCCCTGCAAATGACGGGCTCCTAGAGCCCGAGTCCCACTGTCAGGAAGAATGTGTCCTAGAGGCTCTGAGGAGGCCTTCCTGTCTGTCCTACTCTGTACCCCTGAGAATGCATCAAGGAACTACTAAATGGCACAGAATATTTTGCTTTTACCAGTGGAAAGAAGTTGTAAATCCATGTAAATATATGAAAGGACTCCCTAGTAAAAAAAAGAAGGAATAGGTATTTAAACCCAGCTAAACGCCCCTGTATTTCACAGAGGCCAGAATGTTCTAGGGTGGGCTTCCCAAACGCGTACAGCTAACACTTTGGAACAGATAGTTCTCGGCTGTGGGGCCATCCTGGGCAGCATCCCTGGCCTCCACCCTCTAGATGTCAGGGGAACCCCCAACCCAAGCAAGTCTCCGGGCATGTCCAAATGTCCCCTGGGGAGCAACACTGCCCCCGAGTGAGGACCGATGCTCTCGGGTCACAGTTTTCACTGTTCAGATGACTGACGTGTTCGCTGAGATGGCACTGAGGCCCTGGAGTGCCACGGGGAGCAGGGGGGCTGCTCTGGCTGGAGGTGCCCCCCTCCCCCTGTCCTGACCATCCTGCAGGGGGTGGGCATGAGCCCTGAGGGGCAGGACTGGATGCCCAAAGCATCGGGGATGAGAGAGCTCTTAGTGAGTCCACCCTGGGCCCCCAGCAGCACATGAGTCTTCAGAGGCCGGGCCTCTGAGGGATCCCGTGAACCAGGTGGCATCTCCAGGCCGACACCCAGAGGGAACCTGGGCAGTGCTGGGGTGTTCTGATGCTAGGCTGGTTGCTCCCTCGTTTGGACAGCGCACGCTAAAGACTATACTTCTTTCTACCGTTACTGGAAAGCTCTAGAACTGTGGTCTCTGACAGCAGGCTTTTCTTTTGTATTTTACACGTTCTGTGGATCCCCAAATGCCACTCTCTGCCCTTCTTAGAGAACAAACAACAATAAGATCACTTAAAGTTGAGGCAGAGGCTCCCAAGCTGGGGACGGAAGGGGGTGTGTACGCACATTTCCAAAACCAGGATGTAGCTGGTGGGGGTCTCGAAGCTATCAAGGAGGCCAACAAGCAGCGGGTGCTGGAGGTTCTGCAGGATTCCAAGCTCGTGGGTGACCTGGTCACGCTTCATCAACTTCTTGTTCACAAACTTAGTGGCCACTGCTCGTTTGGTTCCTTTTTGATCACATTTCTTAACGACAGAGAATCTGCCCCTGGAAAATACGCCAAGAAGGTCACTTTCCGACGACTCTGAGTCTGTCATGGACAAGAAACTGTTAACCTAAATGGACCGGGGGCGGGGCAGCCTCCCCTGTCCACAGGCCCTGCCCTCCCTGGCCACTCGTGGAGGAACGACGGCCCGCAACGACCCCGAGGAAGCCTGCCAGTCTCCGAGCCCCTCAGTCATGCGTCTCCTCTCCTTCCTAGAGGCAAACTCCATCTCCTCACCCTGTGTGACCTCCTGACCTCAAATTCGGCAGAAGTGACATGTGAGACCAACCAAGCAGCCTCCGCCTCTGCTGTCATGGAAAGCCTTCCTCACCATGTCAAGAAGCCTGGGATGCACTTGGTGGCCCCCAGTCACCCTGTGCCCCCTTTTGGAAAGGAGTGTCACTGCTGTCACAGTGCCTGACTTGCAGGACGCCTGTGTGGGGCCGGTCACTCATCAGCACCCACGGCCTCTGGAGCTGTCCCCAGTGAGCCACACCGAAGAAGCCTCAGTGGCACCTTGACCCAACCTGGAAACTAGGGTCTTGGACCTCAAATCTGAGCCCGCTACCATAGGATGGGATGAAATTTGGGGAGTACTGGGGAATGCAAGGAATAGAAATCACCCTGTGGTGGGAAGAAAACGGCCACGCCACTCTGCTACTTCTCCCACAGAAGGGCAGTCTGTTTCTCTTCCTTGAACCTGGCCTGGCCAGTGGTATTTCTGACCCACACGACGCGGAAGAAGTGCGGCCGCTGATTTCTGAGGCCGAGCCTTGAGAGGCCCTGAGGCTTCTGCCATCACGTGAGGAAGCCCAGGGCGAAAGTCTATGTGGAGAGAGGCCCAGCGTCCCAGCCAACTGAGCCCAGGAGAAACCAGCGGATAGCCGCCCGATCACTCCACACGTGGCCAGAAGTGATAAGTCAGCGCTGCCTCGAGACAGCAAGTGGGTGCCCGTGCAGCGATGGACAGCGGACAGACAGGTCAGCCTGATACACGCAGGTATGTGCACAGGTAGCTGGAGCCACGAGACCTAGTGCAGCCACTCGAATGGAGGAGGCCACCCTGGGGGTTTCTTGGAAAGCTTTTTAAAAGCGACAAGCTCAGCTGTCATGCTTTTGACCTTCTTGCTGCCTGGGTCAGGACTGGAGAAGTGGAGGAGAGCCGTGTGGATGGGCAGCAGAGTCGAGCCAGAGGGCCTGAGGGCCCTGCTGACCACCGCCCGAGCCCTGGCTGCCCTTCTGGAAGGGAGGAGCCCCTCTCTCTGCTCATGCAGGCGTGCCCTGCATCTCCAATGCACGTCTCCACAGACAACTCAAGTCTGCCGGGCACACTCAGCCTTTCCTAGCTGAGCCTCCAAAGGAGAATTAAGTCCCACAAAAAGGGTTTGAGCGACTCTCCTCCAACTTCTCCCAAGGACACGACAGCTGGTTCGGTCCTAGACGCACAGCAGAGGAGTTGAGTCATTGCATGAACGGATGGCTTATGGCTTTAGGCCTTCATTGTCTCCTGGAAACTGAGCTGAAAACGTCTGAACCCTCAGTGTTTACTGTCGAAAGACAGTTACAGGTTCCCTTCCAAATAGAACTCCTATAACTTCCAACTGGTAGCAAAATACACCACTTGATTTTATCTACTCCTGCGGTGAGTTATGTCTTACTCTCTGCTCTCGCGGAAGGGGCTTTGGGTTTTATATTGTACCTGCCAAGCTCAGCCACTTCGCTGTAGAAGGAGTCAAAGTTGTCTTTCCAGGTCACCATGATCCCATCACTCCCTGGACCTGTAACAAGAGCAGCACCTCCCCTGAGTTTGGTTTCTGCGGCGCTACTGGGGGAAGGGGTCTCTAGGCCTGCGCTGTCCAACATGGCGGCCACTGTGGCTGCCGGGCATGTCCGCTGTGGCTCATCGGAATGAAGATGTGCCCAAAGCATAAAATACACACGACAGGCTGGGACTTAGGATGGGGACGAGATGGGTTTACGTGACAGAAATAAACACCCACTGCCTTTTCCATTATTTTCCAACTCGCGTCTCCAAGGTGGCATCTTCCACCTCCCCAAGTGCCTTTAGCTTGTGCTACTGATTTATCAGAAAGCAAAAACCACCTGGATAGTTTCTGTGGCCTCTTTTACAAATTACAACACCGGTGATTCTTCACTTTTAAATTCAAGATTCTCTTTCTTCTTTGTATCATGATCTGAGAAATTCAGGACATTCCCTTTCTCTGGTTTAATGAGATTAAAATATCTGGGATGAAGAGACCACAGGATAAAAATGCTAAGATAATTCTGTTCATTGTCTACACACAGGGTGTTCCTGAACTCAATGCACCTTTTAGTTCAGGGTTTTATTTTTGTTTTGCTCTCGGAAGCAGGTTCCTTGAGCTGGTGCAGCTGGGGGACATGTGACAAAAGTCAGCGGTCCTGTGCTGCCAAGCTGGCCTTCTGCCAAAGCAGTAGCTGCAAATCAAGGGGTACGTGCTGCCTCCTGAGCATCTTGTCAAGTGCACCCAGAGGAGACTTAGAAAGGCCCAGGACATGGGTTCTGCCTCCAGTAGCTCAGTCTAGCTGAGGAGAGAGAACAAGGCCTTGCTGGGCAGTGAAGAGAGCAAGGGCTTCGGACCGGAGGGACGCAGGTCCCACCCTGGTCCCCTGCACTCACGGGAGGGACGCCATTAGGGTCTAAGTCAGGCACAGAGCCTCAGCCACAGTCCTTCCTCTCCTCTCATAGTCTACATGAGACCAGCTTGGAGGAGAGTCTCTCAGAGCCAAAGTGTCAACTCAGGAACTGAATAAAAGAGAAATCAAATAGGAGGATGTGTTTTGAGCACTAAGAACACGGAATGTGCTGTGTTCCAACCCAGAGGCTGGCACCGGGGCCGTGATGAGCGGCCTTCACTGTGTCCCTCCCCGGGATGTCCTAGATACCGTGGTCTGCCCCTTGTAGGTCTTGTTGGGAAGGCCCCGAGAGTGACTGTTGCCAAACACTTCAGAGTATGTGGGGTGGGTCTGTGTAGGGGTGGGGCCTCTGGGCCTCAGATCAGCTCGGGGAGCAGCTTACCCAGCACCCTCAGACTGGCTGAGGACGAGGCCGAACCCATGTCGTTCACAGCGATGCACGTGTAGGTGCCGTCATCTTCTGTGGTCACACCCACAATCTTCAGAGTGGCCTCTCCCAAGTCACTGCCGTACAGATGACAAGACACCGTGGGTCACAGAGGGGCAGCTCCCCCAGTGGCCAACCCTACCCTCCCCCCTTTGGGGTCACAGGAAATTCCGAGAGCGAGTATTGCCAAGGAATTTCAAGTGGAATTTTTATTTTTATTGTGCACCCCGGATGAAACGGGCCCTCGTGGGAGGCGTCAGGGTGCAAAAGCTAAGTAAGCAGTTTGACAGTGTTGGTCACAGTGACCAGAGGTCATGCTCACTGCCAGCGAGATCCACCCTCACCTGTAGGAGATGCTGTAGTGACCGTCGTTGTTCAAGGTGTTGTGTTCAGGGCCCTTCCAGGTGATCGAGGCCTTGGGGCGGCCACAAACTCGACATCTAAGAACAACGGTCTCCCCTGTCTCACACGTGACCTCACTCAAGGGAATGACGAATTCTGGGGGAACTGCACGAGAGAGGAGTCAGGGACACCAGTCACCCTTGGTTCCCCTCCCACACCCACCAACGCTAACAAACGAATGAGGCCCTCGTTGCCGCCCACACCCGGAGCGCCACAAAAAACCCGTTCCACGCGGCACACCCGAGGCCTCTCCGCCATGCCCCATAGACCTACGCTCTGCGAGACCGGAGGAAGCAGACAACAGAACTCACCGTCATATATGTAGTTGGGGTTGAGAAGCTGAAATGGAAAAAGCATGTAGATATTAACCAGAAGCAAGAACTGCTTTGAGGTATACTGAGTTTATTCCCCGGCTACGATTATCACTGAAAGATGAGTGGAAATACAACTTGGTTTTCGTGGGTATCGAAACAGCGCATTTTCATCGCCTTTAAATGCACTCATCCAAATTTAGATGAGCTTTTGTCTTCCTTCTCACAAACGCATCAACGCCCTTTAACCTCAGAAATGCCCATTTTTCTCATCCAGTGGGCTGGGTCCAGCTGGTCCCCACACCCCTTCCTTCTGAAGGGCGGCCGGTGCCCTGGCCCAGAGCCCTCGCGTTCCCTTTGGGGGAGATTTTTTCTCCCCAGGCAACCACTCCCCAACCCAGGTCTGAGGCAGTCGCACCACGGGAACCAAGCTGACTGAAGCGACTGCCAAGGGAATGTGCCGGAGCCGGCGAGGCTGAGGCAGCCCCCGGATGAAGTCAGCACCACAGCGGCTTTGCAGCGTTGTACTTGCAAGGGTCTGGTTTCTGCTTCACCGGGCAGCTGGCAGTGTTCCTTGTAAGCTACACGTGCACCTGGTCAGGTGTGCTGCGTGTCCCTTGTTCCCCGCACAAGTGTACCCACCTGTGCCTGGAGCCCTGCGCTGGCGGGAGGCAGGGCGTGGCAAGCGAGGCTGGGCACCAGGCCCCCTGCTTCCCCCTCGGAATGACACAGGTTCCTGGAGACGCTCAGACTCACCTTCACAGATACCTTGTTGCTGAGTCCTTCCCGAGACTTCCGATAACCGTTCTCTAACTTGCCTTCCCGTTTGCCGTCTTTATCTTTTTTCTCAGATTTTTTCCTTAAACGGAGTGCTGTGTGCCAAGATGTTGACTTCCTAGGGGGAAGGTAACACATTGTTAGTGTTACATCTTCCCAGTGTTCGGCAAGTGATTCCTGAGAATATCAGAGAAGAGCTGAGTAGCTCACCTATGGGGACACAGGCTGACTGAGGCTCCTTCAGGAACAGTGTGCTCTGCTGAGGGAAACCTGACCCTGAGTCTTAAAAACCAGAGGGGAAACCAAGAAATTCTTAAGTGTTAAGGACTAAAATACAGAAGTGGCCATGATGATGGTCAATTCTTGGCCGTTTGATGCCCAGAGATGTGATCAAGTGTTGTTCTGGGTGTTTCTGGATGAGATTAAAATTTTAATTGGTAAAGTAAAACACTCCGCCCTCCACCACGTGGTGAGTGGGCCTCCTCCAATCAACCGGAGACCTAAGTAGAACAAAAAGACTGGCTTCCCCGAGCTGGAGGGAATTCTTTAGCAGAATGGGCACCCAGCCTGCTGGTCTACACTGTGGATTTGGACTCATAATTCTCCATAACCTTATGATCCAGTTCCTTACAACACCTGCCTCCTTCCCACACGCTCCTATTGGCTCTATTTCTCTGGAGAACCCTAATACGAGGCCTAAGAATACCCTTTGATAAAATAAAGTACAAAATGGGATTCTTGAATAATGTACTAAGATAAAGTACTTCAATATATCGAGGAGAGACGGGACAAGGGGATCATTATGGAAGAGACCCTCTGCAGCCTGAGCTCAAGCCTAGCATCCCCGGGGGGTTGCAAGCTCCAGGCCCAGAGGTGTGGGGTGGTGCTGGGGTGCCATCCAGGTGTGCCGCACACCCCGCCGAGGGTCCTGCCGGGCTTGGACAGGAGCGTGACCGTGGTCACCATCATTGGAGATTTCAGAAATCACAAATTCCTGCAATGCCTCCATTCCCAGAAGCCATGTGGCTGATCTCTATCACAGCCAAATAGATTCAGAGAAGGGCAGAGTTTTAAATCAGCACCTGAATTCCGTTTTCTTTAAAAAAAAAAAAAAAAAAATGTTGAATGCAGGGGCACCTGGGTGGCTCAGTCAGTTAAGCTTCTGACTTTGGCTCACATCACGATCTCACGGTTTGTGAGTTCAAGCCCCAGGTCAGGCTCTGTGCTGACAGCTCAGAGACTGGAGCCTGCTTTGGATTCTGTGTCTCCCTCTCTTCCTGCCCTTCCCCTACTCATGCTGGGTCTCTCTCTCTCTCTCGCTCTCTCAAAAATAAACATTAAAAAAAATTTTTTTTAAAGTTTAACGCAGCAAACCCAGTCTCATTTAGTAGTGGAATGAAACCTTCTAGTATACGTGAGGCACGATAGTAATGGCATCACACAGATCTTTACCTGCAGCTCACAGACGAGCACCTTCATGGATGCACCCTCAGCATAGCCTGCTAAGAGGGCAGGGGTCCTTGGAGAGTTTCCCCCCCCCGCCCCACCCAACCAGAATATTGGGGACTACAATATTGTGGTGGTTTACTCAGTGGCTTAAAAAAAGCTGTGTCTGCAAACGCAGGTTATCGAAAGACCCCGTCAGAACAAGTCTGAGAGACGAGAGGCAACCCCGTCTTCACTCTGGGGTTCCGCACCGCGCCTGGAGATGAACTCGCACGGATGGACGATGGCGTGGCTCTCTAGCGGGGCCTCCGGGCCTCGTGCGCGCTTGGGCCCCTGTCCCCTCGGCTGGCCCACAGGGCACTCACTTGAGGGTCCCATCGGGGTTCTCCACGATGACTGCACTGGTGTGCCCCAGGACGAAGCCCGGAATCCAGCCCTCGGCGGCGGGGCACTGGTCAGTGGCGGCTCGGAACACCAGAAACATGTTCTGTTGATTGCTGGCCAGAATCTGAACGACCTCTCCTTGGTAGACGTTGATCTCATCCTCCTTCACTGCCGTGTAATCGTGTGTCACCAACATGGTGGAGATGTTGCTACTGCTGCTGCTTTCACTCTGGAGTGGGAGGGAGGACAAAGAGAAAGGCAGAGGGGAACTGAAACAAGATGTGATGTCATCCGTGGGCGCCGTCTCGTGCCGGCCCAGAGCAGCGCTCACCACACAGACTCGGAGCCACTCTCTCGTTAGCTGACTCTGTGCCTCTTTCCTGATCACCGAAAACTTAGAAAGCAACGTGAGCGACAATCTAACGCGACTCAGCGCAGTGACGACACTGCTTTTGGGAGATGATTTGAGCCCCATCTTCCTTGCACCTCAAAGGAATGGCTCAGTCCTCCTGCCGGTGCCGTGCTGCCTTAGATCTAGGTTGTGGGGGTGTCACGGGGACTACCACGCTCACCTAGAAAAGCATTATTAAATTAAAAAGCCCCGAGAGTAGCTCTCCAGCTGACACACTAGACCATGGAGCGGCCCCAGATCTGCCAAAGAAAACGTTCACTCAGAGCACAGGCTGCCGGCTCCGGCCGAGCTGCTGACATGCCTCACCACGGTCACCTTTTATTCCTTTCCTTCTGAAAGAATGAGCGATACCTGAAAAGTAAATCGACTACTGCCCTGCTCCTAAGGATAGTCACTCATGTCCCTTGGTGAGTGGCCCTTCCAGGAGCTTGTGTGACTCGAGCGTCCGGAAGGTGCCGTTGCCACAGTAACACACAGAGTACCCAGCACGGCAGGGCAGCTGTAGACACCGCGGGCCCCGCGATTCAAGCTTCGGGAATGGACCTTGGCATGGGAAAGCCTATGCTCCTCTCACCCTGAAGTCCTCCTGGTAGTACCCGACCTCCTCGTCCACTGTGCGTCCTTAACGTCCATCACAGTGACTGACAGGCAGCAGACGCGCAATACCTATCTAGGAACTCAACGAGGCGAGATGGCAAAAGGGAAACAGAGATCATTTCTGAAGCCCACCTACCTAGGCCCGTGGGCTGAGTGGTGTTAGTTGCTGAGCGGAAGACACACAAATGGCAGTGTTTGTCTCAAGCTGTCATTTGCCAAGTGACCCCTTTGTTCCAGGGGAGGGGGTGAAGCTGACACCACTGGCCAATCCTGAGCTAGCTCTTGCTCAATCCCCTCTACCAACGGGTGGGACGTGGGAAGGGGCATCAGGCACCCTGTTCCTGCTTGCTTGTTCTCAGAGGCTTCCGCCAACGACGCCGTCAGGACGTTCACGGATCCCCCGGGCTTCGAGGACTAGCCTCTGCTGGGCTCCTGGGTGCCTGGGGCAGGTCCTGGGTGGTGCAGTCGCGCCTGCCGGACAATCCCGCCTCACACAGGTCAGTCCGGGCTGCCGGGCTGGTGTTGGGGCACACGGCAGAGGACGGCCGGCTGCTATCAGCAAGTCAGCCGGCCGAGAACTCCAGGGTCCAGGGCTCCAGACCCGCAGTGGATATTTAAGGGAAACACAGCGGAGTGCCAAGCTCTGTTCCTGTCTTGGCGGAGTCGGCTGCGGATACCTGCCCCTCGTGGATGCCCGTGCTGTCCACGTCAGGCTACGGGCTGTGCGTAGTCATTTCTGCCATTGTATTCTTTGAGCATGTACTTTAGGATTCTGACTTATATAGCAATACCCAATAATTTTGAGATTACGAAGCCAAATTTGCTAGAGAACGCAAACGAAAAGCAACTTATGTGGCATAGCCGCTTTTGGCAATAACGCATACAAAGCTTTGTCTCTTAATTTTGCCACAATAACAACAGCTACTGGTATTTTCTGAACACGCCCTATGAACCAGGCTAAGTACCAGGCATTTAAAATCCATCTCATTTAATGCTCAAAACCGCCTTCCCAGCTGGCACAATCATTACCCCCTTACAGAGTGGGGGTTAGGAATGTGCACGGGCCACCTGGCTTCTGAGACGAAGGCAGGGTTGCATTTCTATTGCTGCCCAGGTGGGCAGGTGCAGAGACATCGTGCATCCACATTTGGGGGCTGGCACAGTCACTGTCTGGGTTGGTCCACATCCACTCCACTCCTGTTCTCAGAACTTTCTGGAAGGTGCCCATTAAAGGAGGAAGAAGGACCCAGGCCATGGGTTAGGCACAGCTGCTTGGCTGTGAGTGCAGACAGTTCCATGGAAGTAGTCAAGGAGGAAGGTGGTCAAAGCAGACCTGCCAGGAGGATAAGATGGCCCAGATGGGCAAAAATGGGGCAGGGCGATGGTTCCTTTTAACTGAAATACTTAAGAATCCTAGAGGACATTTTCAAATCCCCATTCAGGCCTCTGGTGGTCGTCCCAGCCTTCCAGGGCATCTCTGTAAGGCACTTTGACTCATCTAAAACACTGGCAATTTCCTGTTCCAGGTTACCTACCACGTGAACAAAAAGCGAGAGGCAGAGGCAGCTTGTGCAGCCTAAAGCTGGGACATATGTCACATGTGACTGACTATGCCTTTGTCTCAGGGTGAACATCCTAGGAGGGAGCCAGGTGGTGACTGTTATCTGTACACTCATGGGCGCCCAGCGACCATCACGGGCTGCCCTGTGCTGGAGCAGTCGAGGTTCATTCTGAAGCACAGACTCTGAAAGGTCCTCGGTTGCTTATGGGGAGTGTCCAGGTTAGGATGAGCCCAATTCGTAGGAGGGGTCTCAGCTGTAAGACCATGCCCGCATCCCGAGTATTCCACCAGATGCTGGCAGGCAATCCTGCGACCTCTGCCTCTTTTTCTCTGGCTGAAGTTGCTCACCTGCATTCCTAGCAATTCATACCCAACCGGGGGCCAGGCTACTCTGCAGGACACTGGCCACAGCCACTGCAGAGGCTGCCTGCCCCGACTGCTTGTTTTTGCAAATAAGAGTCAAGGGCAAATAAACGTACCAAGACCCGCTTCCTGATTTTTCTCAATTAAATATAAAGATCGAGTTTAACAATATATGTAACAAGTAGAAGGAAAAGAAAAGGCCACGTCACCCCAAACAAGGCATTAATAGAAGTCCAGAGGAAAGAAGAGAGACATGCAAAAGCCAGATTCGTTTTCATAATGAGAGACACAGACCCTTTTAGGGAAATGTATTTAAAAATTTATAAAGCGATCAAACATACACTCGTTAGAACAGTTCTCTTCCCTCACGCATGCCTTTAGGAAAGTGTTAAAGGTCAGGCCATCTGCCGTGTAGGAAAACAGCTGGGGAGGATAGTGAGGAAGCCACAGAAATGGGGGAAAACCCCACCACAGCAACCTTTCTGCTTGAGGACACGACCCAGGCAACGGGCCTAGGAGAGGGCGAGGAAGCCCGGAGCGCCCGCAGCGCGCCCCCTGCCGGGCAGAACGCAGGTCGCTCGGCATCCAGCCTCCGCCTCGCTCCCCGCCAGCAGGAGCCCGCGCTCCAGAGGCGCTAAGGCAGTCTCTCTCTCTTCCAGAGTGAAACTGGGGGAAGCAAGCATTTCCACTGGAGAGATTCCTTTCCCCCTATTTTGTCTGCTTAGTTTGCTGTGAATTGCTGTTGGAAGTTTTCTCGAGGGACTTTTTTTTTTTTTTTCAGCAGGTGAGTCAAAAACGCTGCAAAGATAATTTAAGGCATAGAAGAGCACAACCAAGCGATGAGCAAAAAGCTGAAAGTGTACAGATTCCAATTGAAATAGGAGGTAAACAGCAGGGACGCTGACCCCTCTAAAAAACGTGTGTGAGGAAGGCAGGGGTAAAAAGGAAGTTCCGAGATATTCTGCTGGTCAGAGAGTGTGAGAGACGCACAGGCGCTGCGTTCGCAAGGTACCGATCTGCTTCCCATATTAAGGAGACACACACAAAGCAAGGAGCGAGTTAGTAGAGACGAGAGCAGCGCTGTCCCCGCGGCAGGAGGGTTAGAAGGCGCGCCGTCCAGGCCCGCGGGGCGTCGGTGGGCTCCGACCTCTGCGGGCGGTGCCGGAGTAGCCGGAGAGCCGGGAGTTAGTAGGAGGAGAGCAGCGGCCACGGGGAGGTTTAGAAGAGCTGGCGGGACAGAGGCAGCGGGGCGGGCGGGCGCAGGCTGCCGGGCGTTCTTACCCCGTTGCTCTGCGTGGACTGCACGGACTGCTCGCTGGCCGAGGAGCACGTGCTCATGCGGTCCGTGTCCTTGCCGGGGGCCGCGTGGCGCTGCGCCTGCCGCTGGAGGGAGTCGCTGTCCCCCGGGAAGGTGAAGGAGCCCGGCCGGCTGGCGGGAGAGGCGGGGATGGAGCTCCAGAAGGAGCCCCCCTTCTGCAGGGGGCTGCCGGGGGGAAAGGGCTCCTTGCCGATGGGAGAAGGGAACGCGGTGGCCACAGGTGAGTTCAGAGGCGAGACGGCCCCGGGCCTGGGCTTTCCCAGGGGCAGCGAGCCCAGGCTGCTCCGCGAGCGGCTGTCCTCCGGGTTGGCCCGCGCCTCCCTGGCGTCCGCATCGCGGCTGGCGCCTGCGGCATTCCCCGAGGCCTTCCTGGGGCTCTCGATCACCTTCATCTTGGGGATGTGCTCCGCTTCTCGCTCGGGGCCTTCGGGCTCTCCCGGGGCGCGCCTGCCGGCCTGGCCGGGGCCGGCCTCCGGGGCGGGGCTGCTGCCGGGAGGGGGCGGTGCAGGGCCGGGAGTGGACGTACCTGACATCTTGTCTGCCTCTGCCTGGCTCGAGGCTGCAGAGGAGACCAGCACGGGGGAGTGGTGTCTGA